TATATTACAGTTAAATATTTAATTTAATATAATAATTATGAAATGTAATTAATTAATTTCAGAAAAACCTGATTTTTGTAATTTTAAACTATTGGGCCTGATTTTTAATTTTGGAATAGTAAACACCTGACCCATGAACTTTTCCCATTTTGTATCACCCATGTGTTTGGATAAAGACGGAACTCTAGTGGTAGGATCCTTTCAGGATAAAGTAACGTATTATTAGCAAGCCTCAATTTCTTAGAGTTGGATAAGCCTTGACATGAAAGAGAGTCCTACTAAATCAAGGAGTACATGGTACGAGGTTTGGCCGTAAACTCGAGGAAGACCTAATGGGGAGAGGAGAAGCAATCCCGAGAAGATCATGGGGTCAAGATGGCCGAATGGACAAAGCACTCATCGGGCTTAGACCTCGAGCTCGACCTAAATTGGACTCATCGAGGAGTATATTAGAAAACTAAAAAATTAATTAAAGTCCTAATAAGGAAAGTGACTTATAATTTGAGATGGACAAAAAAGAAAAGTGAATATTATCAACGTATAAATTATTTTTTATCTTTTATTTTCATTTTCAATGAATTTATTGTAACTAGTATATTATTTGTAAATCAATTATACGTGTTTGGTTACTTGACATTCTGGACAATAACTTTTGAGTGTGTCAAAAATTATAGTGTAGTTTTGCAAAAGATTAAAAAATAAAAAAGCCAATGTTTTTCATTATTTATTGAAATATGCTATATGTACATAATTTTTGTACGCATGGTGTCCACCCCCCTCTCCCCTCACATTGCGGGGCACACCTCCATGTGAGGGGTATGGACGCATATGTACATAACCACGAATTTTCCTTGTTTATTAGGCATCACAAGATAATGAAAAGTGGAAGATATGAGAAATGCTATTCATCCACACGACGATGCATTCGCAGTCTATGTGGCGTTAGTGTGACATTAAAGGATAGGTGAAATTAAATAAGTCATTTAATTTCATCTATCATTTAACCAACCATTTACATCCACATAAATTGTGGATGCATCTCCACTGGGGATGAATAGCATTTTTTGGAAGATATAGCAATATTATGAAGGGTAATCTACTCATATTAACTCCCTGGCATGCACTTAATGCGTTTTGCGGATTTCGATAAGGCCAGAGAAAAATCAATTCAAACCCTAGACCAGACGATTTTGGGTTGATTTTTGTAGTAAAATGGGTTAGGTAGTCAAATTTTAGGCCAAGTTGTGATAC